TCATATATATATGAATATATATATATATAACTCTTAAAATTTGTTTATCTGCTTTTCTCAGTATTTTAAATTTTAATATTCCCTTCAGTTCACCCTTGTTCTTGTTCTTCTCAATGATTAACATGAGGCGGATAGGACCTCCACACCATATTACCTGGATAAACCCTTTAAGTTGTTAGCCAGTGTATTAGCTTGAAGTAGTTTCTTTCTAGGCCTAGACACTGGTTCTCTGATCCAATCTGGAAGCCAGGTTGGGGCACTGGCACATATATGGATATGGTCTATCATTATGTGTGCGTCATCCAATGCATTATATGCCTTTGATCTGAATCAATTTGCAGGTATCCCATGGACAAGTACTGTATTGGCCTGTAAAATACAACAAACCACCTTATAACTTCTGTTTTTACACTGATATTCATGAAATTTGAGGACAACCTAAAGGGGGAATGCCAAATTTTGGACAGTGGGCTTCGGTGATTTTTATATTAAGCACCTTTAAGGCTTTTTTTAAGAAATTAAAATGATTTGTGTTCATTTGAGTTGAGTTCAAGACAGTTAGTTTCAGTTTCTACATTTATCACTAGAACCAAATCTAGCCATTCCACTTGGACCTCATACAAATTAGTGTGAATTGGGCTCATTGGTTTCCGAATTTGGGGTTTACACAGACCTGTTTCTCACCTGTCCATGGTCGAAAGGCTTTGCTCTGTACTTTTTCTCTTTGTGAACAGCTGTCCTCTTTGGTGCTGACTCTCAAGCACCTCCCATGAAATTAGCTCAAGACCAATCCATTTCCTATTGCAGCCTTAGGTGTAAGATGTTTTCTAAATAATTTTTCCCCATCTGAAACCCTTATTCTCTTTTATAACAGACGGATTGCCTATTCATTTATTACCAGATTAACCGTATATGTTACTAACATACCTTCCCCCCTTCTTCTTTAGGATGGATTTATTGACTTTTTGGAGTTTATAGCTGCAATAAATCTAGTCATACGAGGGAAAATTGACCAGAAATTGAAATGGTACTTCAAACTATATGATGCTGATGGGAGTGGAACGATTGACAAAAAAGAACTTCTAAGCATATTCTCGGTAAGGAAATTGTATATATTAGCATGTCTTTATTGTAAACCAATCTACAGACAGTTGTGAAAATTTAATGGCAAATCCATTATTTAAAGATAACAGTGTTTTTATTTAGTTAAGTCACAGTCTATCTAGAAAAAGACTACTCATCCCTCTCTTGCTCTGTGGATCTGCCTGCAGGACTGGGTAGGGCAGCAACATTGTAGATGGAACTACACACTGGGGAGCATGGGCTCCCCATGTGCAGCACATGGGCATGATATTTCTACACTCCCAATGTGTGTTTGTGTTATAGTACACGATTATGCATCAGTGTTATCAGCTGGTATCCAGTACATAGGTGGATTCCAAAGCTGACGGTAGGTCTGTGCCAGATATTCCCAATCAAACGTTTTGGTACAGTAAGAATGATAAAACTCCTCCCCTGAAGATCAAGATGGGGCCACAAAAGGTCTGGAGTGGGACAGTCTAGAAAAAAGAGTATTTTTAACATTAGATTTTGTTTGTTTCTTCCTTTTAAATAAAAGGGAAACAAGGAAGCCACCTTTTCCCATATGCCTTGGCAATGGCAAATTGTCATCTGATAGTGTCATGTTGAAAAAGGGGCACATTCATGGAACCATTTTCAAACCTGGTAGCTGCTCAGGAGCCATGGAGCCATGCTGTTTGATGCTTCAAATAGGATATTTTGAAAAGAAAAAAAATGAAAGCATTCTAAGGCACCTGGTCAACATGCAAGCAAATGATTCTCCCCCTTCCAAAATAAGATAATCACACCAATCCCTTCCAGGGTATCAGAATTTATCCAAAACTATCTTCACAGGAGAAATAACATTTCTGAAGCTGGAGCAGGGACCTGTGCTCAGCTTTTAGCTGATATCTACCCTGAGATACTCATATTTTAAAACAATTCATTGGGAACACGTGAGGGTTCGTACTTTGCCTCCACTGGTTTTGTCTGAGATTCTGGAGACAATCCTGTTGAAAAATCATAACTAGATTTTATTAGAATATGTAACAATAAATATTTATGCTCGAACTCAGCTTCTGCAATTTCTCTCATTGCCAACGGGTCCGGCGAGGGCATCCAAACGTCTTTAACGAAGGGGTTACAGCTCAACTCATCCCAAGGTCCTTTCAAAAACGGATTACTGTTTTCCAACTCACAAGTCTCTATTTATTTTATTTATTTATTTATTACATTTATACCCCACCTATCTAGTCGAATGACCACTCTAGGCGGCTTCCAAAATACATACCAACAACATATAAAATATAACAAAAAATTTAGGGTTTAGTAGCGGGGTGGTCTCTTCATATCGCACCTCCATCCCATAAAGGTCTTCCTCTCCTCCTAGAGGGGCCCACGGTCCGTTAAGTAGCCCCTCCTCTGGGCTGCTTCTAGATGCCATGCCTGGTGCTCTCTCTCTTCCCTATCTACCACCTCCTTCTCCTCCCTGAGCCTCCTGAGCCACTCTCTGGCCTCCGACTCCCCGCCCAATAGGAAGGACATTGCGGTAGACCCCTTCTTCTTCGATAATCAGCTTCCTCTCAGGGAACCCGTACTTTCTCCCATTTCCCGGTCCAAGGGTCTTCTTCCCACATCATTTCCCAGCCCCCCCCCCAGTATTAAGTCTACCTCTCCTTTTATATCTCCCATTCTTGTCTCTACGATGGGCCTCCCCCTTTCTCCTTTTCCCGCCAAATCATCCCATCTGGGTGGCTACTGTCATCTTTAACAGTTCCCGCTCCAATTCCCAGGTATCAACTCCCCGCTATTTGGTCTCAATGGATGGTGCAGGCAGGTTTGTCTGTGCCTCTCGTTTCTTTTTGAGGCAGGACGACACTCCAGCAAGAGCCTTTACACTCTCGCCTTGCGTCTCACAGAACACCAAGGAATGCCAGGTTGTTGCATCTCTGCCACCCTTTAAATTTCCCACTATGCTCCTCACCTAGCATCATTCTGGGGCACTTTGGGAAACTGAAAGGATGGCTAGACTTAACTGCCCAGTGCTGTTACTGCAGCCACTTAATAAATCTGCCAGGGCTTATTTATAGAAGAGGAAGCCTCTTAATCTAGGCCTTTTGGAAGAGACTATGTATTTAGATAATGTGCATAAAACACATCTTCTGGTATGATGGTACTATTTCACAGCAGTCTTCTTCCTAATATGCTGGTTTACCATGTGGGTGATTTGACACAATGCTTACCATCTGTAGTGCAAAAGTAACACCTACAATGTAGAGAATGTAATCCTGTTTTGAAACTGCTCTTTTCTATTTCACTCTCAGCCAAAGATATTTTCAGTCTGTTGTATTTAACTTAAAATGTTCATTTCATTAGGAGGATTAAAATGAACATAATTTTATTTGTGATCAGAAAAGTTGCTAAAGCATCTCCTCGTGTACATAAACCTTTATAAGATAATCCTAACTTTAAATAATAGAGAACATTGCACACATCCTAAAAGATCAAATTCTCTGGGGCATGATAAAAATGTAGCCACTTCAGAATAAATCTCATGGACTGATACGGCCTTCAATGATATGCAAATTAGATCTATAATCCTTCAACCTCTTAGATTAATTTAATTTCCATTTCTCATTATTGGAGATTTTGCTAAAACTCATTTTGACTCTCCACGCCCACCCCTGCTGGAAAAAAAATCCACTGACTGGCACATTTACATATAGAATATGAAGGCAACTTAACACATTTGTGTTGTTATTTCTTTAGGCAATTCAAACTATCAATGGGAACCAAGATATGACCCCAGAAGAATTTGCAAACATGGTGTTCCAGAAGATAGATGTAAATAATGATGGTAAGATCTTATAAGTGTTCTAATGAACTCCCTTTCTCTTACGAAATAAAAACAAGTGACTTCCAATGTATAAGAGTTTTTGAGGTACGTAAGATCTATATCATTGGTCCACCAATGCCACCCTCAGTCAGTTTCCATGACTCAGCATGATTTGAATCCAGGTCTCTAGGATCCTAGTCCATCACTTTATCCATTATACTGCATTGTCACTCAGGTTTATTTGAGGAATTTTAAAATGCATTCTGGTAGTAATTCCTCAAAAAGCTAGCCACACATTTTAATTTATTTGAAAGTAAGTATATTTTCCCCTCAAGAAATTACACCTGGTTTATGCTGATCTAACTCTCTATAAGGAGACTTCTCATGAATGTCATCTAAAGCAGAAACTTGGCAAGCACACATAGTCTCTTATGCTACAGTGTGACCCATGCCACCTCACAGCCCACTCCACCCTGCACATACTATTTCAATGTGGCGGCAAAGAAAGATATCATTCGGAATATGAAGGATGTGGTCTATTTGGTAACTAAACATCCCCTTGAAATTTTACACTGCTTTTACCATGGGAATATAAACATCCCTGTGATCGAATAGTATTTTCCCTAATTCTGGGAATCACATCTTTCATTGAAGAGTTTGGAAGTCAGCTAGTATGATGGTTTGAAACCATTTGCCTGTAGATACTTGCACTGATTCCTGAATCTTTATGCATTTGTTCTAGGGGAACTGTCATTAGAAGAGTTCATTAGTGGAATAGAAAGTGATGAAACTCTTCTGGAAGTCATTTCAAAGAGCTTTGACCTTTCCAATGTACTGAAAGTTATACAAAGTGGGAGAAGACACAGTGTCTGAGACTTTCACCTTGCAAAAAGGACGTGTGGTAACAAGAACAATGCAAGAAACCTATTAATTATCAACACAGAATGTCATGTTACCCATCCATTGTTCAAAACATAAGCTCCAAGAGGGATAGCCACTTCAGACCTGTTTCTCTGTTGTTTTTCCTTTTTTGTGGACGTGGCAGTGACAAGAAGAGCAGAAAACTGTTTCTTTGTTCATCACAGAAGCTGCCATTTAGACTAATACAAATAAACACAGTCTATCAGTTTCTTTGCAATGCATTATTTTTGCAATGGACCTCTCAAGAAGACACAGAGCTAATAAACTGCTCCTTTTAAGTCATGGTCTTTTAACTTGGAAGTTACAATGTGGTGATAAACCACTTGATAGGATTGGCTTCCTTCTAGATCAATTAAGGATGAAGCATGGTTTGCATTAACTTAACATTTGCACTAATCAGTGCTTAAAATAGGAATGGATTATCTGGGAAACACCTCAATCAGCTTATGGCTCCAAAGATAAACATCCACTTGGAGAAGCTGTTTACCACTTTGGTATTATTATTACATCTGTTACTTAATATAACATATGACTTTGATGTTTCAAATATTCTCCCACCATTTTAAAAAAAAATTACAGTAATGTGCTTTTTTAATGGGATTAACCTTTTCAGAGAAGCTTTGTATTTGTCATGGAGCGACACCATTTGGGGAAAATAATTAAAACTTCAGAGAAGACATTTCAAAACACTGGCTTTAGTGATCAAACATTAATTCCAATCTAAAATAAACTTATATTAATCTGATTCAAAAGATAGCCAGATCAGACAATCCCCTCTCCCCACTGTTAACAGCAAAAAAGATTATTTTTATTGTAAGTATAAATTCCTAATCAATCATACTTTGCAGTTGGACGAAACATGTGTAAATTTTACTTCAATTACAGTGTTCATATACTGTATGTTCCTGTCTGAAAATCCTAGAGGAAACCTGGATAACGTTTTCTACTGGTAAACTCTTTCCTACAAATCTTGAAGTACAGCATGTCCCTTTCATCTGAACTATTTTCCCAGGTTGGCAAGGAAATGGAAGGTTTGGGGTAGATTTGGTTGGAATGACCACAGGTGTTGTTAAAGCAATCTTTGGCTTAAGCACAATGCAGAAAACAAACATGTCTCTCTTCCTAATATCTACAAAGAATCGCCCATGCTTAAATCTACAGGTTGTATGATGAAAGATCCTTGATCTTCAATAGAGAAACCCCTAATTCTGGATTGACAAAACCAGAACTAAGGGTTTCCATACTGAAGCACAAATCCTGAAGAAGCTTGCAGTCCTGTTACCAATATCTCAAGATGAAACCACACTTAAAATGCCTATTAATACCTGAATATTACTCTATGTAGCTGAGAGATGGATGTGTTTCTGCAAGCTGTTTTTCCTCATAGATTGTGAAATTTGAGGAATAAAAAAGACAGCAGTCTAAACACTTCAATAGTTATTTTGTTAAAGATTCAGTTAACTATGTATGTGTAACAGCATATGAAATATGCTACATCCATAGTAATTAGGAAAAGATGGTTACCAAAGGAATGAAGTAAGTGGAGGGTGTACAGTCATAATGCCTCTTCCATAGGAACACTTAGAGATTGCTCGGGAGCGGTTGCTGCAAGAAAACAGCATGGGGTTTTCAAAATTATTTAGTTATTCAAATATGTTATGATTTGCAAGACAATCCAGACTAGCACCATTTCTGTTACTGGTTTAAGTGATTTAAATAAAATAAAAATATATTGTTTTTGGATTTCTACAAAATTTTTATAAAGGTATAGAACTGAACAGTGGAGGAGAAAAGAAAAAATGATACATTTGATGGAGGGTTTGTTCTTACTTATTTAATTACTAAGTTATTTTAAGTATGTATACATCACTTTTTACATATGTATCCTACTAATGATATAGTACTAATAATGATTTATTCAATATAGCAGCCAGAATTCTGCTGAATAGCTTCTGCCTGCACAATGGGAATAATATCATCAGTGGTAGATTGCCATTGATTAAAACTTCATTTTTAATTTCAGGGTGCATACAGCTTGCATAAATTGAGACAAAGTTGCATGCACCCAAAACTGAAATAGGAAGTCTTTAATCAGCAGCAATTTGAGATCACAGCAGATGTGAAAGCAAGATAAATCCATTTGTCAAAACTAACACTCCTAAATGGGTAAAAAGGGAGACTTCATTTGGTATCCCAAACAAGTCATCATCTGGTGCCATATAGCTAACAGAGATGGTGCCAGGAATACTGCTTGCTGACTGGCCGCAAATTCACCACTGAATAATATTTTTATATTAATTTTTAGAGCACAGTAAGTTGAAGTAGGAACATTCCTCCCATTTTCTGCAGAGATCCTCCAATGTTTTCAGCAAAGATGCTTCCAACCAGACCTGACAGAATTAAATGCTTTTGTGAGAAGTGATACTCTGCAAGCTTAAAATGCTGAGACTAAATAAATACTCAGCTGATCCTGCAATCTTATCCATACTCACCAGTTCCATTGCACACAACGGCCAGAATCCTACTGTTTTTTACTGTCCATAGAAGCTGCCATGCCTAATTACAGGTAATTGATGAGGTCAGTTACTGTGGATTTTGCAATTTCTTTTCTGCACATAGTGAAAGCAGTAAGATTCTGGCCAGTAGAGCTTACTTCCAAGCAAAGATATGTAAGATTTTAATGGATCCTTTCTTGGTAAAGCTAATGGAAGCATGTGCTCTGGGTCACACTGGGGCCCACAGTAGCAATCTATTAGAAATCAACAACAAAAAAATCACTCAAGGCCCCAGCTATACAGCCAAGGTTATGTGTGGTTTGGCAAACCCTAAGTTCTTCTGAGAAGCCTTTAATGCACTGATACTGTATCTGTAGCTTATTTTTTAGTATTGCTTTCAGACTACATCTTTTATTTTTCTTTGCATTATTTTTTAATATTATTTTGTTTGGCACAAATTGAAAAGCAATTAATTTGGAGAGAAAGCTAGCACTGACAGCCGTAGAACACTCATTCAGCATTCTGTTTCATAATCCATTAACTTCCTTGTTGTTATAAACTTTAACTGTGTGAAAAATAAATGTACTATTCTCTAATTATGTTTTAATAACGAAAAATCTCATGTAGGCATTAAGAACCTAAGAAGAGCCCTGCTGGGTCAGGCCAAGGGCCCATCTAGTCCAACTTCCTGTATATCACAGTGGCCCCACCAGATGCCTCTGGGAGCACATGAGACAACTAGATCCCTGTCTCCTGATACCCCTTCCCTGCATCTGGCCTTTTGACATACCTTCCTTTTAAGTCTGGAGATTATACATCTCCATCATGGCTTGTAACCGGCAATTGACTTTTCCTCCAGAAATCTGTCCAATCCCCTTTTAAAGGCATCTAGGCCACATGCCATCACCACATTCTGTGGCAAGGAGTTCCACGGACTAACAACCCACTGGATAAATAAATATTTTGTTTTGTCTGTTCTCACTCTACCAACACTCAATTTGAGTAGATGTCCCCTGGTTCTAGTATTGTATGAGGGAAAAGAGCTTCCCTCTATTCACTTTATCCTTCGCCTGCATAATTTCATATATCTCAATCATGTTCCCACCCCCAGGTGCCTTTTCTCTAGACTAAAGAACTCCGAATGCTGTCGCCTTTCCTCATAAGGAAAGCCCTGTCATCATTTTAGTCACTCTCTTCTGCACCATTTCCAGTTCCACTATGTCTTTTTTGAGCTGCAGCAACTAGAACCGTACGCAATACCCCAGGTGTGGCTTTACCATCATTTTGTACAATAGCATCATAATGTTGGCTTATTTTCAATCCCCTTTGTAATGATACCTAGAACAGAATTGGCCTTCTGTTCTGCCACCGCGCACTGGGTTGCCACTTTCATCGAGCTATTCACCAGCACACCAAGATCTCTTTCCTGATCCGTCATGGACAGCTCAGAGCCTACCAGCTAATAAATAAAGTTTTGATTTTTGCCCACATGTGAAAAATTACATTTCATATATTGAAACGCATTCACATTTGCTATTTTGCCGCCCATTCTCCCAGTTTGGATAGATCCTTCTGGAGCTCTTCACAATCCCTTCTGGTCTTTACCACAAAAAAAACCACGTTATTTTTACAGTCATGAATTATGGAGGGGCACATTGTGGTCCACATAGGAGAGCACTTCACCCTACGATGTTCATGGTAGGCTAGCACCCTGCACCAGTTACAAGCTGTTTACATACATTCACAAAACATAGGACGGGTGTCCACTTCAGCTAACTGTCAATGGATATGCTCTCATTTTTCATTCTTGTATCCAAATATCCTTCCAGATGAATAATAATTACCTGCCTTCAATTACCTTCCAACTCTTTCTCCTCAGCCAGATACCAAACTTGGGAGTTCTTATCTATGGAGCTCTTCTGACCATCTGTTATTTTCTGACATGAAGACAAAAAATTAGAGGAAAAACATTAAAAGGTTATGAATGCAAGACATGGTCATCTACCCTGCCACTAGAGATGTTTTGAATTTCAACTCTCAGATGTCACAGTCAGCATAGCCAATGGTCAGCAATCCTAGAAGATAAAGTCGGACATATCTGGAGGATCAAAGATTGAGAACCAGATCTTGAGATAACCCCATCCCAAAATTCTGTGACTATGTCAGGATACAGGAAAAGCTTCATCTAGAAGCACCTCCAAGCCATGGCATTGCTTGACAAACTACATGAGTTCAATTCTATTCCAACTGTATGAATAGCCAGAAGAAAGAGCCAGAAACCTTGTTTTCGGATAACCATTAACCACATCAACCAGAAAGGAAAGAATTGTTTCAAAGGTTTTAAGAAGCAGCTGAGGTTCTGCGAAGCCTCCAAAAGTTCCACCATCCCCATCCCACCCCAGCCTGGCCTTTGCTTATCTAAAGACAGCTTTTATCAAATCATCACCATAGCCGCCCAGAGACCTTTGGGTAGTGTGGGCGGCATATAAATTAAATAAATAAATAAATAAATAAATAA